TAATAGTGACATAAGTATCAAATGTTTCACATTATCCTGAAACTTTATAGAAGATGAAAATAAACACACGCGCACACACATGTATATATATACTATACAAGAATGATCTATAGAGCAACTGTGTTTATCTTATATTAAGCACCGATGACGTGTCATATAAATTTATTGGTGGATAAACTTATGGTGGGCTTCGACATTTGAATTAAGTTTACAATCCACCGATAAATTTATATGATACATCATTAGTGCTTAATATAAGACGAGCAATATATATAAACAAACAAAAATAAAAATTCTTTCAATTTAATAGGATTTACTAAGATACCTACATAATTAAGCTTTAAATAATTCTATAAATAAAAGCTAAATTAACATAATGTTTACATTTTAATTAAAGATTAGTATGTTTGCTAATTGGACTATTGAATTGACTTGGTTGATTGCATTTGAATTTTATTTTGTTTGTAATTTTTTATGAACTATATGCAATAATTTGTTTTGGGAGTCCTCATAAAGGCAAGACTTAAGGCTATTGCTTATCCCGCCTATAGTCAAGACCACCACTGCAACGAACTTGAGCCTAGGCATTCCGATACACTTTTATGCTTGAGTTGCATCTCATTCATGATCTCTCATACCATGTATCAATATTTTTTAAGACTTTGGTACTACATTATTTTATATTCTTTTTTCTGCCTCTCCTTAGCTCAAAAAACTACTTAGCATATTATACACCCGTTTGACAGTTATTATTTGAAAATTCTTTTTTTTTTTTACAATATTCATTTACAACTACACATTCACACAATAAAATATTTTCGCACGTAAACTTAAAATTTCTTCCTGCTTTTTAACTACACGTGCTCCTAAAATCACTATTCAAAACTTTGTTTCCTCAAAATAATGGTTGTCAAACAAGGGATATCATATCCTTGTGTCTATACATTTTTTTCAATAAAAAAGAATATATTATTCAACATTACTAGTGCATAACAACGGTTTGTTGTCTACACATCTATCATATTGTCGAATGCTCAAAAATGTATCGTAACTTTATTGAACAAAGTTATAGCGATCTCACTGTCATATTAATCGATGTCAAGTAATAATAAAACTGAATAACATTACTCATTAAAAAGTAGATTATTTTGAACCCAAAAAGTAATCAATATATCCAGTCCAAAAATCTTATGAAAATTTTGCTTAGATCTTGTCTAAATGCATTCTCAACCCCAAAGGTATTGTGCATGATTGATAGAATGGCCATTGTTAATGTTACCAAATATTTTATACACTACAAATTCCTTGGACTCTGACTCTGAATGTTTGTCTATAATCGTTTGCATCACATCTTCCACTTTCAACTTATGCAATAATTTCACGTTCAGTGCACGGTGAAGGGTAGAAAATAAACACACATTATTGACGGTGGGGTGATGCCTTTAGGCTTTTTAGCTTTATATGCCTGTCTTTTTGGATAATTATAATTATATTCGCATTTTAATTGCACTTAAGGTCCTCGACAGTTTTTCTTTAATTATTGCACTGCTTGTCCTTATATTGACCTCATTTTCGTACTAAGATGTAAGTGAAATCAAGTAGCGATTCATCAATATGAAAATCTAATTCAATGGGACGGACGGACGTAATTAATGCGAAGATCAACTGTTTGATACGCTTTATTTCATCTATTTTGATTGATTAATTGACATTTAAAGGTTTCTCCAAAATTAAAAAAGGGATAAAATAAACTACAAAGCAACGCATGTCGAACATTTACATAAACGACATTCATCAATCCATTCCGCCCGCACACCATCTCCTATTGCATCAAAATAGATGAGCACGACTCTAAGTCCCATTAATCAATCAATCACTAGCAGCATAGACAAGTTCGTATAAACAATTGTCTATTCTATTGAGTTCATCTGCATTATTTTTGCATCGTTCTATTAACTATACAAACCTTCCCCAATTCAGTTTTGATACATACCATGATTGACAACGTTGTTTACACTTTGATATGACACACGGTTTTACCATTGATCTTAACAATACTTATTCAAAACAATAGCCTCGATTTTGACACATCAAAGGGTGTCAAACTAGTTAGCTTAATTCTCCCCCAATTAATCTCATCATTATTACAAATTTAACACAACATCAAAAAAAAAAGAAGCAATAATGGGTCCGCAGAGCTTATCTAAATTAAACTTGATGGTTTCTTTTAAGACTTCGGATCACTACACTGAGAGTTTTGACATCCAACTGTCTCAGGAACCAGGAAACTCAACATTCGTGAAGCCGTTGAAGCAAGCCCAAGTACACCTCTACTTTTATCTGAATTGACATAATTTCCTACACTACAAATAAGAATCTGAGGGGGCTTCTTTTCCGTATGTGAGAAGACGGAGAGGTATGACAAAAATCTAGTAATTCTCCAGTGAAAAATCAGCAGAGGTGAGTGGACATAACTTTCACATGGGGGGATGAAACACTATAAATCTCTATTTCCGAGTGTGCGTTTATGTTTTCCATTTCCTTCATTATTGCTTCTGGGATTGGGAATATGGCTTAATACCTAACAACTATGTGATCGGTCAAACGGGTTCGAAGCACTACACCATCACCACTCTCTGAAGGTCTCTTTTAACGTCTTTTGCTAGACCTAGTAACGTATAACCAAAGGCTTGTAATTCACCCAGATCATAGTGAAAAATCAGCAGCAGCCACGTTGCTAGTGAATCACTATTAATGTCTTTACTTGTGCGCATTTACGTTTTCCACAAATCCAGAAGTGAAAACTTCCTGCACTAGGAAACCAGTTAAAACAAAAAATTAGCATTAAGAATTTAACTGATTATGCATTCCAAATTACTAAAAGCATAGCCGCAAAGCACCTGAGCCATTTTCAGAGCAGTCTGGATCAGAACAGTATGCAAGAGTTGGCTAGTAAATCCCCTAGAAACAGAGATCTTTCATCCTCTTCCAGCTGAAATCCCCTAGGTCATCCATGCAATATTTACTGCAAACAAAGACAATGCCGTGTCTTCATTTCCATCCATATTATAGCTTTGAAGTCTCATTTCATGTCAACCACTTAATTTCGACTTGAATGCGCTCAGATCTCACACTAGTAGTCTGCTTTGTGTCTTGTGCAGAATTGATTCCACAAATCACCACCTTTATTCCACAAGCACGAGTTTTGGCAAGATCGTGATTACAGAAAGATGCCAAACTGTGTGGATACCATGTTAACGAACAACATGGCACAATTTCTACTTTCATATGTCAATAATCTGCAAAGGATAGTTTTCATCCTGCACTTCTTGCATCAATAATCTCAAAATTAAATAAACATCCTTTCCACCATGCTGAATCATTTGGTTTGATTCAAAAGCACAGACATGGTCTTTTAATCCAATCCAACTGCAGCCAACTATTTTCTTCGTTGGCATCTTCTCCATCACATTCCTAACTCGTACAAGGCTCTCCCATTTACCCCTTTGTTCATATGCGTGGGCCAACACCAAGTAAGGAAGAGATGATTGTGGTTCCAAATCCATCATCCTCTTCGTGACTCTTTCAATTAGTTCCAGGTTTTCAAGATGTCCACAAGTTCGAAGTACGGATTCCGAAAAAAGAGCAGCACTGGGTTTATGTGGCATTGTTTCTAATATTGAAATTGCATCTTCGATGTTACCTGCCCTGATGATCGTGTCTACAACATAAGCATAATGCTCATTTCTTGGAATAATTCCATATTCCTTTTCCATCGAAGAAAAAATGGTCATCCCTTCCTCAGGAAGGCCCCCGTAATTGCAGGCTAAAAGAACACCAGAAAGTGTTATATGATCGGGATGTAAACCACTTTCAAGTAGTTTCTCAAAAATGCGAAGGGATTCGACTTCTTTGCCATTGTAAGCCAATCCCATTATCATAGTATTCCAAGATATCAAATCTTTTGTACTCATATTAGAAAAGATATTCAAGGCAGAGTCGATTAACCCATACTTACTATACATTTCAACAAGTGAACTGGCAACAACATAGTCCGATTCAAACCCTGATTTGACCACCAAAGAATGGACCTGACTCCCCTGCTCCCAAGGAAGGAAGACAGCAGCAGATCCAAGAACACAGCTGAGTGTGAATTCCGTTGGTCTGATATCCTCCATCAATGCAAGGACAAAAAGTTCCAGTGCATTCTCCTCTAATCCATTCCTTGCATAGCATGCGATCATTGAATTGGAAAGAGCTGAATCAAATATATTTGACTCATCAAACAAGCAAATTGCATCCTTCATTCTGTTGCATTTGGAAAATAGATCAATAGCTGCACTAGAAACAATTGTATTCCAAAGAAACCCCATCTTCATGCAAAGACATAAAATATTTTTACCTGCTTCCAAATTCCGCAAGTTAGAGCAAACAGTAAGCACTGCCGACATCGTATACTCATCGGCTTTATGCCCCATACCTCTCATGGAACGGAAATGTCTTAATGCAAGTTTTTCATAACCTGATTTACAACAGCCAGAAATCAAAGAATTCCAAGAAATTACATCCACTTTTGGCATGGTAAAAAACACACCAACAGCATAATCCACTAAACCAAGCTTTCCATACAAATCAATTAATGAATTTCCAACCACCAAATTTGAAAAATCAAAACTATTCCTTGTCATATTGCCATGCATTTGCTTTCCATAATCAGCACATTTCACGCAAGAAATCAAAATTGAAAACGTGAAGCCACTTGGTTTAACGCCACTGTGTTGCATTTCCAAAAAAATTTCCCGTGCATTCTCCCAAAAGCCACCTGAAACATACCCCGAAATCATCGAATTCCAACTTACAACATCCCTTTCAGGCATTTCATCAAACACTTGACGCGCCATCCGCATATCAAAGCATTTAACGAACACTTTCAAGTACAAATTCCAAGAGAAAACATTTTTGTCGGGTAATTCATGAAAAGCCCTTAGAGCGTCATTTGAAGACCCATATTTTAGATAAAGATCAATACAGCGATTGCCCAAAAAAGTATTGGTATTAAAAGATAATTTTATCAACTGGGCATGAATGGATTTCGAAAATTTAGCGGGATTCTTTAACGAAAGGCACTGATCAATAAGGCTAGAGAAATAGGAAAGTGGATGTCTGTAGATGAGTGTCTTCGCCGATTGTAGAAAATTGTACATGCAAGTGCACCTATGCTACAAGAGAGCAGCATTAAAAAGGGCAAAGATTTCTGTTCTACCAATCCTTGACGCAGGCAGTATTAAAAATTTGGTTAGGCTAAAAAATTTCCTTATTGTATATAAATAAGTTAATGAGTAATTTAATTTTTTCATTTTTATAATAAATTGAGTTACTTTTAAAACGAATTGCTTTTTCCATATAAAATTAAATGAAAATTTAATTATTTTTCTTGTAAAGAGAATAAATAAGTTAATGTGTAAGTTAATTATTTTATTTTTATAATAAATTGAATTACTTTTTTCATATAAAAATAAATGAAAATTTAATTATCTGAATATGTTTAGATATAATAGGATGGGGCATGACAAAGTGGATCAAATCAAGAACCCACGATTATCATTGGTTTCGTGCGTAATTATGGAACTAAATCAGAATAGAATAGAATGGTTCTGGTATGGTTTGATTCGGTTTGATTCAATTCCATAGCCAAAATTATCAAAATATTGATGCAAACTGGAAGGCTGTGGCAAAAGGTAGGTGTTAAATTGAAAGAGAATTTTAGAGTTTTGAAGGAAAAAGAAATTTTATTTTTTTTTGGAAGAAGTATAAAAGATTTTTTTATGTGATTAGAAATGAGTTAATTTTGGTATAAAAAAAAGTATCAATTACTAATTGTAAATGACAATAATTTAAAATAAAATAAAATAAGATCATAAGCGATTCTTGATCTCGACTAAGGATGGCAAATCCCCGCCTCTAACTCACCTTGCTTTACCTCGCCCTCAAATAATAAATGGAGCGGGGATGAAGAACATATTCCTCGCCTAGAATTCTTTGAACTCGCCTCAAATTTTTTTATTTAGATTTATGTTTTCAATTAAAAGTTATATTTAAAATATCATTAAATAATTCAAGATGGTAAGTGAGATTTTTAATCCCTATCCAGCCTCTTAAATCTCCCGATAGGACAGAGATGATAATTGTCACCCCAACCTGATTCTGTACCGTTGATGTTTCTACACTCAATTCTTGGTTCTGATTCTAGAACTAGAATAAGTGGATTTTGAATACTAGGATCCAAAACCATTTCAAATTTACACAAAACATTATGTCCAATTCTAATTTGATTCTATTAGTTTTAGTTCTTTTACCCACTCTTGAGAAATAAAATGTTAAGAGAGTAAAATTTATTAGTTTTCAAGCTTACTTCGTTTCTTTTTACTATGTTTTGTATCAATTTGGTTCCTCGACTTGAATTTGACCATTAAAATTATTTTTAAAAGTACTTTCTTTTTTTTTTTTTTTGTTGTTTCAATTTATATATATACTTTTTAGTTATAATAGCTTGTCATAAATATAAATCATATGATTTCAAGACTCATTTTAATATAATTCTCTCACAATTTACAACATATGTAGTTCATTTTAATTACAGGTTTGGTATGTTATGCTGAATGTGACTAAAAACGAGAGGTAAATCGCAAATTTTGTCCAGTTCTGTCACGTCTAATGTCACAAAAAGAGTGAAATTCCATAGTTCATGTTGAAATATATATTCATCCTTTTAACTGAATCCAAAGGGTTGAATTTACTATTTTATCTATGCTCCGAGCCTCTGGCTCCCATAACCTCTTTGAAGACAAAACCTACTCAAAGTTTGACAACGGCAAGCCTTTAATTCATTGCATAGGTAAACAAGGATCATGCTAGAAGTACTACATGGTTTACAAACTCATATACTCACTACACACAAGAGTGGGAACCACACAGTCGCCATTTTTGAATTCACGTGGGGCCCGCATTTTTTGTGAGAGTGAGTACACAATTTTGTAAAAATGTGTGAGTACAAATATCTTTGAAACGTGCTATGCGTACATAGGGGTACACATAGGGGTTGACATAATGTGAGTGGCGTGGGGTCCATGCTAAAGTATCGTGGGCCCCACCCCACTCACATTATGTCATTCCTTGTGGATCAATCTATGCACACATAGATTAATCCAATATCTTTATCCATGTAAACAAAAGATGGAAATCAACAGTCCCAACATGTATCTGCATAAAAGATGCATTTTTACTACCACATAAAATCAAAACTCAAACTAGTCCATGACTACACTTTATGCCTAAATAAATACATTTTACATTGTATGTGAACGTATTTAGAGGGCTTTTTATATCATTTGAATTACTCGAGCAACTTTTTTTCGTGTTCATCATGTCTAATTCCTCAGTGATCTATCTGCAACTCATATATGCCATTGTAGGCCTATCAATTGGTACCATCATCTCTCCTCGTTACCTCCATGATCAACCAGAAATTTACTGCATAAGCTAGTTGTATCCCTCAACTACCTGTTACAAGAAAAATAGATTAAAAATTTTCTAAACGTGGTACTAAAAGGAATCCCATATTCCTTAGAGCCATCCACATATCACATTCACAAGAGTGCCCAAAACCTAAAATCATATTGGGGAAAAAGTGCCCCTATTGAAACCGCAAGAGGAAAAACCAAAAAGTGGTTCGTATTTCATGTTCTCAATTCATGACATACATGTGCCACTCATCCATTTATTTGGACACAAAAATAGGACAAAAGCAGCAATATACAAAATTGTTCATGTGATTCTGAAGTTCCAAAAATAAAGTGCTGAATGACTCGAACATTGTTGAAGAGGAAGAAGTATAAGTTTGACACGCTACCTGGATGCACCACGATAATTGAGCAGGATTTCCTTGATCATCCAATTCAATCAATGATATTCAGTTGGTAAAAATGAATTACTATATGGCAGAAAACGATCAGAACCGGCCCTGCTTTACATGATTCTGATATCAATCCAAACTGCTTTACATGATTCTGATATGGCAGAAAACGATCAGAACCGGCCCTGCTTTACATGATTCTGATATCAATCCAAACCATCGACAGAAAAATGAGAAGAAATATAGAGGGACCAAATATTGGTTTCAGGCTGAGCACATACCAAATTTCTAGGTACAGCAAGTCATTCCAGATTGAGAGCTTCAATTTGTAAGCAACTGTTTTTGACTTCAGTTCTAAAATCCTTTAATCAGAGAAAAAGTGATTAGTATGTTCTTTCTGGTAACAGGAATCATTTAATCAGTATAGAAGAAAATAATAAGAAAGAAAACTTAAAAGGGTGGTCATCCTGTTATGTTATTAATATTTATATTATGATTTCACAAATAGAAAAACAAACATTTAGAGAAAAGATATTTGGTGAGCCTACCATTTTCCTTAAACGGAATTTCAAAAATTATGGAAGCCATTTTTTTAAAAAAAAAACTGTTTTAAATTAGAAGCTGCCTAGAAAGGGAAAAGAATGGAGAACAAGGTGACACACACAATTGATCAACCTCTTTTATATTCTTCTTCACAGCTGTAGCATTAGAAAAAACACACCATTGTCACAACCAGAAAACGAGTAATGCCCGCACTTACAAATATTCAAGTTCCCCATTCAAATGAGATCCATGAGAGTTTGAGTTAATCTACTCATTGCTGCCCAACAACTTAAGCTGTATAGGTTTTGTTCTCTCTCTTCTTTTGTTCTTCGTCTGTTGCAAAGAATATACTTCATATATTAAATCAATATCAGTTTCATCAGATAAGTATGCTAAATGATGCCAAATGGTGGTCTTAGTCTTGGTCTTATTCCAGTAAGTCATAGGCATGCCATTTCACTGGATGCCGTCCACTGTAATTTGCATCTTTTTGCTATTTTTATATTAAGATTGTGTAAAACCAAACTTAGTTTTAGTTTTCTAAAAAATCATGGACTTTATAATTTACAAAATCTGCCTTAAAAGTTAAAAAGTAAAATTGAATTGAATTTGAACACCATGAAAATGATGGTTTATGGCTACCAAGGAACTAGTTTAATTGACTAATTTGGCGGTTAGGGGAAATATATCTAAACGCAAAGGATCTTTTTGATCCATGATCTGCAAACTAATGGTTCCTACCCTATATTCATTCACCTTATATTACAAATCATTATGGAATCAGAAGAG